GACATTCTGTGTTCATCTGTACAGTTTTTGCTATTCCCCTCGCATTTCTTTCATGTTACTTCCTTTCCATTTCCTCCATATATATCCTCTGCATGTAACCAATAGGGATTTCAAAGGTACACACCTACTTTCCCTGAAATATGCTGATACTGATACTGAAAGGTCTAGGAGAAATGAGTAACTAGACGATCGGGAAAGTGAACGTGACGTCCACTGCGGGTGATATATGCGGGAGGCACTGTTGGAGGCAGCTGAGTAGGTGTTGTAGTGGACAAGTTAAGGGTGGAGGAAGAGGTATCAGGTTGATGCTGCGAACAAGAAGGAAGAGGGGGTATACGGGCGGAGGGATAGGTGGGGAAAGTTGAAAAGGTGTGGGACGAGGTATGGGGTCAGCACATGCTTGTCCTTGAGACACGTCCGGGGGCTCCTCTGCAACAGCAGCCTTGACCCGCTCGATGATGACTACGTCCTCTTTGTCACCTCGCAGGATCCGAAAGGTCTTGCTGTTACGTGCAAGCACACGGAACGGTCCTTCGTATGGTGATTCTAACGGCTTCCGCACACAATCACACCGAACGAACACATGGGTGCAGTTGGCTACGCCTTTTTCAACATAAGGCTCCGTCGATGGAGCTCGAGGTGGAACCGAGGAAAGCGAACGCATGAATTGTCGCAGATTATGTACAAAATTTTCGGGGGTCTTTTCGGCACCACGAGAGTTTGGGGTGACCATCTCACCAGGGAGTCGGAGAGTAGTGCCGAAAACCATTTCGGCTGCGCTGCAGTCCAAGTCTGACTTCAGTGCCGAACGAATGCCAATAAGTGCAACGGGTACATTGTCTGACCAGTTTTCGGGATCTTCTGCCGCACGCAGTGCAGTTTTTAGCTGGCGATGGAAACGCTCAACCACGCCGTTGGCAGCTGGGTGGTAGGCCGTCGTCCGAATACGTGTTCAGCCAAGGAAGTTGAGGAGAGTTTGGAAAAGCGTGGACTCAAAATGCGCGCCTCGATCAGTCGTAATCATGGATGGCGCACCGAATATGGCGACCCAACGACTGACGAAGGCTTTCACAGTGGTCTCAGCTTGCACATTTGGTAAAGGAATGGCTCCCGGCCAACGGGTACAGCGATCAACGCAGGTGAGAAGGTGAGTATAGCCACTGGATGGAGGTAAAGGACCTACGACATCTAAATGCACATGGTTGAACCGAGCATCGGGGCTGGGGAAAGTGCCCGATGGAGAACTTGTCGTAGCATTGAAGCTTGTTACGTTAACAGCAAAGGCACGCTCGTGTCCAAGCTTTCACATCCTTGTTCAACCCAGGCCATACGAACCTTTCCGTGAGGAGCTTCTATGAGGCTAGAATTCCAGGATGGGAGAGTCCGTGGAGGGTTTGAAAAACAGCTCGACGCATCGAGGCAGGCAAATAAGGGCGATGAAAAGGAGTCGATACGTCACAAAGGATTGTTCCAGTGCCGGTGGTCAATGGGACGTCAACTAATTGAAGACTGTCAACAGACTCGTCGCCAGGGTATCCAACACGTCGTTGTTCAGCCGCCATAGCACCAAGATCAATCCCGTGTGAGAGGTGAAACGCCGAGAGGGAAGGTCTGGACAGCATGTCGGCCGCCGCATTCTTCGGGCCATCAATGTGGCGGATGTCGGTGGTGAATTGCGAGATGTAATCCAAATGAGAAATCTCTCTCGGGTTATATTTGTCAAAATGGGATCGGATGGCAAATGTAAGTGGTTTGTGGTCTGTGAAAATTGTGAAGTCATGACCCTCAAGGAAGTGTCGGAAATGTTTTACGGCTAGGTAAATGGCAAGAAGTTCACGGCCAAACGTGCTATATCTTGTCTCGGCAGGTGAAAGCTTCTTGGAGAAGAATGCCAACGTTCGTGTCGAGTCGTTGATATGCTGTTGGAGGACTGCTCCTACGGCAACGGTCGAAGCATCAATCATCAGGGACAATGGGGCTTCTGGAGCAGGATGAGTGAGCAAGGTGGCATCAGCAAGGGAGGTCTTTATTCTCTCAAAAGCAGTCAGCGCGTGGCCACGTAACTCAAGGGGACCCTTGGGACCAGAGAGCAAGTTGGTGAGTGGCAGCATAAGGTCGGCACAGTTCGGTAGGAACCGGCGATAAAAGTTTACCATGCCAAGGAAACGTTGCAGCTGACGCTTGGAGGTTGGTGGAGGAAAGTCACGAATGGCCTCAACCTTGGAAGAGAGGGGACGCAAACCTTGTGCATCGACATGGTGACCAAGAAAGTCATGGGACGGCACACCCAGAACACACTTCGAAGGGTTAATGACCACGCCAAACTGATCGAGGCGGTCAGACACTAAGGCAAGATGCTCTTCGTGTTCATCGGCATTTCGCCTGGCCACCAAGAGGACATCGATGTAGGCGTACACAAACGGGAGACCACGTAGGACTCGGTCAATGAATCTCTGAAATGTTTGGGCAGCATTGCGAAGACCAAATGGCATGCAATAAATTCGAACAGACCGAATGGCGTGGTGACGGCAGTTATTGGAACATCCTCAGGAGCGACAGGAATCTAATGGAATGCCCGAACAAGGTCAATCTTCGAGAAAACCGATTTGCCGAAAAGAGCTCCAGCAAAATCTTGAAGATGAGGGACGGGATAACGATCCGGGATGGCCGCATTGCTGAGGGCGCGATAGTCACCACAGGACCGCCATTCGTCTGATGTCGCCTTGGGCACCATATGCAGAGGGGACGCCCATGGACTCTCGGACGACCGAATTATGCCCAGTTGCAGCATGTGCTCAAATTCGGCCTTTGCCGCTTGCAGACGGGACGGAGCCAGTCGTCTAGGCCTTGCGAATACTGGGGGGTCAGAGGTGCGAATGTGGTGGACAACGTCATGCTGGATCTCACCTCTGCGAAACTGGGGTTTGATTATGTTGGGGTGTTGGAGGAGCAGGTCTCGGTATGGGCAAGCAATACCTGTGTCCAGAACAGATAAATTGCAGGAGTCATTAAAGGGTGTAAGACCGCGGATAGAAAGACCAGTTGTGCGGTCAAGGAGACAGGAACGCCGACAGTCAACAAGGAGATCAAACTCGGCTAGGAAGTCGGAACCAAGGATCGCATGAGGCACATCGGCAATCACAAATATCCAGGAGAATGATCGACGTAAACCAATGTTTAGCGTTAGGGAACGACTACCAAAAGTGGAAATGGGGGAACAGTTTGCAGCTTGGAGATGTAGACCAGGGCTGGGACAGCGGCGGTCAACTGGAGTGGGGGGAACCACGCTGATCTGGGCTCGGGTGTCCACCAGGAAACGCATGCGAGTCACATTGTCGCAGACATAAAAGGTGCGACCAGACTTGGGAGAGCCAGAGAAAACGCTCGCGTCTATTCTCTGACTGGCCGGTTTCCCTGTTTCGGTTTAAATGAACAAGGGGAAGAACATTTGCGAGCCTTGGCGTTAAAGTTTGCGTAATACCAACACAAATTGGCTGTGCGAGGTCGCGAACGTGAACGATGACAGTTGGGTGAGCAACTACAGGTAATGCGAGCAAGCTGTAGTTTTAGGGAGGCTGTCTCATTCGCCATAGCTTGGAGATGTAGACCAGGGCTGGGACAGCGCCGGTCAACTGGAGTGGGGGGAACCACGCTGATCTGGGCTCGGGTGTCCACCAGGAAGCGCCTGCGAGTCACATTCTCGCAGACATAAAAGGTGCGACCAGAGCTGAGAGAGCCAGAGAAAACGCTCGCGTCTATTCTCTGGCAGGCTGGTTTCCCTGTTTCGGTTTAAATGAACAAGGGGAAGAACATTTGCGTGATACCAACACAAATTGGCTGTGCGAGGTCGCGAACGTGAACGATGACAGCTGGGTGAGCAACTACAGGTAATGCGAGCAAGCTGTAGTTTTAGGGTGACTATCTCGTTCGCCATAGCCGACATCTGTTGCAGTAAGTGCTCATTAACCGTTGAAGAGGATGTGGAAATCTGAGCAACGGAAGGTGGCTGGAACCGTTGAACCTCTATCATTCGGTCTGCCATTTCAGCAAGATGTGAAAGTGTAAGGTCTTGCGAGCCGGATGCCAAAATCGTTTGAACATCTGCAGGCAGCCGTTCTAGAAACATCTCTTTAACGAGTTTCTCGTCGACCTGCATGTCTCCTAACAGAGTACGCATTCGTCGGAGAAGTTCTGAGGGCTTCCGGTCGCCCAGTGATTCCTCCTTGATCAACTGGTGGTAGCGTTGTCGGTCAGATACAGCATTGAGACGAAGGATTTCCGCCTTCAGAACAGAATAGGGAGCGTCTGCAGGGGGTTTCACTAACAAGGGTTGAACTTGTGAGATAATATTGGCAGGGAGAACTCTCCACAAGTTTGTGGTATTTCGACAACTCCTTCGTAATGTTGACGGAGTAAAAGGCTGACTCAATGCGGATAAAATAAAGTTCAGTGGCGTGTTGCCAGAAATCAGGCAAAGTGAAATGGACGGCATGAACAGACTCGGCAGGAACCTCAGGTTGTTGAGTTGAGGAAGACATAATAAGCAAAATATAGGTAGCACAATATCGCGGAAAGGTTAGCGGGAGATGTAAATGAACTAAAATTTAGCAAATAAATACGGAACGTTAAATTTCATCAAATGTTACTGATGAAAAGAACTTAAGTCTTCGCTAACGTCGGGAGTCACCAATGACGTAATTTATGTCGTTCCCGCGAACTAACGAACTACGGCTTACTAGCCTCATAAGCGGAGAGGGGTAAGGAAGGCCAGTAAGTGAATAAAGTTAATATTTAAAATGTGCAACTATCTGACCAGAGAACATGCAAGCGGCGCGAAGCTTACAAGCGGCGGAGTATTCGTCACGTTAAAACAAATGCTACAGTAAAACAAACGTGCCAAGATTGTCAAAGGTCAAGTAGTCAAGTACTTCAGCACAACAGCAGACCGTCCATTAAGCAAGCCGATCCAGGGTCCGAGCCCGCGAAGGCGCGCGGAAACCCCAAGTCGCGTGAGAAAACATAATAACTGCCAATCACTATTTGTAACCTGGTTCATATAAACGAAGTAGTTTCTGTCCACATTTAATTGTCCTAAAGCTGATGCAGTATATTTCAATCAGTCAGTGTATTTGAGGGAAATAGGCTTACGCCTTTGAACTCCCTATTTGTACATAAAAAAAATCGATAAACAAGCAAAAATGTGAAGAAATTACAGCATTTAGTGAATGCATACATTGATTCACATATGTCACTAGTTACATGGCTAAAAAGTCACATAGTCCGCTTGTTGCTGCAGCATATATCTGTCAAGGCGACATTTAAATGCCTCCACAGATTGAGACATAACAACCGTCTCGGGCAGGTTATTCCACGGTTCCACAACACGGTTGGAGAAGAAATATTTTCTCACATTCAGTCTACCCTGTGGCACACGTAGCTTGAAGGGATGTCCCCGGAGGTTAGTTACAGTGGCGAGTTGGAAAAAGTCCTCGCGCCGAAGGGCACAATCCAAGCCGCGCACAATACGGAAAGTTTGTATCATGTCTCCGCGCAACTGCCTATAACTCAGAGGTTAGAGATTAAGGCTAGTTAAGCGGATCTCGTATGGCAGTGCACTTTGACCTCTTATTAATTTTGTTGCTCGTCTCTGCACCCTTTCGAGCAGATCGTAATCCTGATGCGTCCACGGTCTCCAGGCCTGAGTTGCATAGTCGAGATGGGGCCTTATAAACGTGCCGAAGACTTTGGTGAAGCAGTCTTTATCGAAAACTACTAATGCCCGCTTGATGGCATATAACATTGAGGTTGCGGCCTTGGCCGCCTTACAGCATTGTGTAGAAGGCTTTAGGCTGTCTGCAACCCAAACTCCGAGATCTTTCTGAGTTTCTGCTTCTCGGAGTGGCATTCCGTTCAGATGGTATTGCCGCGTACTAGGGATCTGATTTCCGAGGCGCAGAATGGTGCATTTGTTCAAGTTGAAGGACAAGAGCCATCTGCGGGACCACTCGTCCAATCGACAAAGATTTTCTTGGAAGTTGGTCTCATCGGCAGCATTCTGGACGACTTTCCAGATTTTTATGTCGTCTGCAAACATGGCGCAATCACAGTCCAACCCATCTACACAATCATTGATGAACAAGAGAAAGAGGGTTGTTCCGAGCACCGAGCCTTGTGGGACCCCACTCTCTATGAATGTGCACCTTGATTGCTGTTGTTCTACGCAGACAATTTTGAAACAAAAAAATTGGTAACCGAATTTTTTGACCTTTATCTGGAGCAATAGGGAGCGGCCTGCTAACATCTCGCTCTGTAATAAACCGCAAAGGCACGGAATGTAAACTCTATAATAAAAAAATGGTAAGTTGGATATTCGTCCACGTTCTGTCGCCCTGTTACTGCTACCATTTCTCCGTCTATCGAACCCTGAGCAGTCATTCCTGGTGGAGCCTCTGCTTCACTATCGGTGATATTACAGTTTGTCCTTGCGTTTTGACTCCAATCCCAATAGCCTATAATTCTATTAAACATCTCTGTTCGTATTCCCAACAAATTACCGTTTTATATCTTCTTCTGAATGTTTCTGTAAGATCTGTCCCCTCCTCAAAAATTGATTTTACCGCTTCTAATCTCGTTCGCTTACCTAGAGATTGTTTTACAGACTGCGGTCACCTGAATATTTGGGCTGAGATCGACGACCGATCACCGCATTTCTGGAATTTTCAAAATACTATACAAAAAACAACTAGTCGACCTGCTTGGTTAACTAGGGACCTCAATAGGCAGCTACGGAAGAAAAGCAAAAGATGGGAAATATTCAGGGAAACTGCGTCACCAGCGCATTTCGAAGAATTTCGTCGTCAACGAAATGCCGTCAAAAATGTATCCGTCAGGCACGGAAGGAGTATGAATCCAAAATTATCCGACAGGCTGAACAGAAACCTAAGACTTTATTTCACTATCTTAGCAGTAGACTGAAAAATAAGGACCCGGTCGCGGTGCTGAAGTATGGTAATGGTGTAGAGATCACTGAGAACAACGAGAAAGCCGAACACTTAGGACAGTATTTTGCCTCGGTTTTACTAGAGAAACAGAGTTTCGCAGTCGCAGTACTAGCAATGCTGTTGAGACTGCTGATCGCGTGCTTGACTCCATACTCTTCCCGACACCTGTCGTGGAAAGGGAGCTGAAAAATCTCAAGGAAGCAGAGTCCTCGGGTCCGGACAATATACCGGTCAAATTATTGAAGGAACTGGCGAATGAACTCTCCAGACCACTGGCGCACATCTTCCGCTCGTCATTCGAATTATGGAGGTTGCCATCGGAATGGAAGACAGCCAATATCTTTCCGATATACAAGGGCGGGGCTCGCACTAATGCTAACAATTACCGGCCTGTTAGTCTAACCTGCATCTGCTGTAAAATAATGGAGGCCATAGTTAAGAAAGCAACTATGGAGTTCCTGGAGCAGGGCCATTTAATCTCAGACCTGCAGTACGGCTTTAGACAGAACCGCTCGTGTCTTTCCAGTTTATTGCTTTCGACGGAGCAGTGGACTCGCGCACTGGACGAGGATGGGAGGGTTGATGTCATATACACAGACTTTAAGAAGGCGTTCGACAGCGTCCCACACAAACGCCTAATCTACAAACTTTCTGAAATTGGGATAAGAGGAACGCTGCTGACATGGATAACAGATTTTCTTACCGGGAGATCGCAAACCGTGTGCATTGAGGCCTCAAGGTCAACTCCTACTCCCGTTCTAAGTGGTGTACCCCAGGGCTCCGTCTTAGGGCCGTTGCTATTCCTGGTTTACATTAACGACTGCGTTGACGACCTGGGATGCAGCGCCATCATGTTTGCTGACGATGTTAAGCTGTGGCGACCCATCAGATCTGATGCAGACAGGTACGCGCTTCAAGACAGTCTCAACCGCCTGAACAGTTGGTCAGCTCGCTGGCTCCTTAATTTTAATGTGGACAAATGTGTGGTCCTGAGACTCCGCACCAGACGGACCAGTAAGGAGGACGATTCCTTTCAATACGTCCTTGGTGGTCAGCCCCTTTCAAATGTTGTGGAACAGAAAGACCTGGGCGTCCTAATGACCACATCGCTGAAACCATCTTCACAGTGTCAAAGGGCAGCCAAAAGTGCGATAAGGGTGTTATTTGCGCTGAGGCGAGGATTTGTGCAGATCGACAAGGAGCTGTTCGGAAAAACCTATGGGGCATTCATCCGGTCTCACTTAGAGTATGCAGCCCAGGCCTGGCGACCGTGGTTGAAGAAAGATTATCAACGACTGGAAAGAGTACAGGCGATGGCTACGAAGATGGTCAAGAATCTTCATCATTTGCCTTACGAAACCAGGCTGACCGAACTAAATTTGTTTCCTCTAAATTACAGGCAACTGCGTGGCGATCTCATTCAAACCTACAGGATTGTCAAAAGCCGTGAGTGTGCCCTAGACTTTGATGAATTTTTTGAGTTGGCCCGGACTGACCGTCTGCGTGGTCATCCCTTCAAACTGCAAAGGAAGCGGGCTCATTCGGACGTCCGACGGAACGCCTTCTCTCACAAGGTCATCGGGGCATGGAATGGACTCCCTGATGCCGTCGTTCTTTACGAAAGTGTCAAATCCTTTAAGTGTAGACTAAACGCTCATTTGTTGAGAACCTACTGTACATACAATAATGATTGTTTTAGCGGCGGCAGTTTGCGCCTAGCTCACACTTACCGCTAACTTCTTAACTTTTCGCATTTACTGATGTAATTGATGACTTTATGTCTGTTTATCGATATGAATAGGGAGCTCAAGGGCGAAAGCCTCATTCCCTTAATAAACTGACTTAAACTGACTTAAACTGACACTAACACAGTCCCTTAGTGTATTCTACTAATAACAATGAGCATAACACTGAAACGATTTCAATGAAAGCACAGTTAACCATAGAAATATATTACGGAATGAATTTGGAGTACATTGAGGAAGGAACGAGTGCAGAGCAAATTTCGCAATTTCTTAAGTCCATCTTTAAATGAGTTGGCAAATTTTATCATCCCCACTATGACTCAGTGGAAGGTGAAACGACTATGGCTGAGTCTTTTGTCGAAGGGATTATTCGCAAAAAGCTGCAAACGCTTAACTTTGCAAAATCACCCGGCATTGATTACATGTCAATCAAATTGCTAAATCAGCTAGTTGCCCAACTAGCCAAACAGCTCTTCATGCCGTTTGTCACCTCCATCGAAACCGGTTGTTTGCCTTTCGACTGGAAATATGCAAACGCCCTGCATACAACAACGAATTAATCAGCTCCAATCGGACCGGCTGAAAAGTTAGAGAAAAAATAACTGAACAAGAGCTGATCCATTTTATCGAGCAGCACAATGATATGTCTAATGTCCAGCCACGTCAGCGATTCGTGTATAAACTCGACCATACGGCCGCTAGGTGCAATCCTCTATGGTAAAATAAAGGCTTCTCTAACTGCCTCTATCTAATCATTCATCTCAGTGTTTAACAGTCTATGGTAATTACGGTGGAGTGTGCTGTTTTACAAGGCTCGTTTTTTGGGCGTAAAAGTCAATGACTGCGCCAATAAACTAGATTGTGCTGTCGCCACACCTTCTGATGATACCAAGGTCTAAAGAGTCGTCCGAAACGAAGTTGAGTAGGGGCGTTCGCAGGCAAACTTAAATCAAATCTTGCAATGCCTACATGCGCGGCATTTATTTCTTACTACAGGAAAGTGTAACATTCAGCGAGACTTGGGAACCACGTCTCGAAACAGAGTGTTTGACGTCCGAATGACATGTCACAGGATGGGATGGAGGCTTAAATGTATTTGGGTGTGGGGATCACAAATCCGCATTAAACCGCGTTGCCAACCAGTCTAGCCCTTTACTTCAGCTCGGTTAAGTGTACTTGAGTAAAGCAGGCCCATACCTTTGAACTCCTTATTTTTGGCACACACACTGAAAGAAGTAACAACAGCCTAAATGAATTACGGCGTCAAGTGGAAACGGATTAACTTTCACATAAGCATATTTGCTTTCAGGTGTACGCGGGCAGAAATTTAATGGCTTAGTCTGCAAAGTTCCGGGAGTAATTTTGCTAGAATCTCGACAGGACTGAGAAACTGACTTTGCATCCACTTTTAACAGTTTTTTTAAAAAAATTCCTTTCAATCGAAACGCAGCATATTCAATAACTAACGTTCCAATGCTCGGCATCTTGGAGGAATTTAATCCGCTATCAGGCGGTAACGGATTAGACGAAATGCGAACAATGCTCGGCTCTGATTTTACCGGCCGATACCTCGAGACTTTTAATTCCTCATAACGGGAATCAGGCCAATGCAACGTGCACTTTTTCGCATGTAGCTGTAGACAATGATAGGATTTTTAATATAATGACTGATCAAGCTGCTCCCTTAATTTTGACGTCTTTTGGAAATTAAGTCTTCCACTTTTTTAATCCGCAATTTCCTTGGTCTAGGGTCTGCATTTTCATCTTATGTGAAAAGTATCTGCTATAATCTTGCTGTCTTATTGGCCTGATTTTTAAATCTCGTGTAAGACGTCGAGGCCGATTCATTCTTCTGGGTCTTAATAAGGACTGACTGCTCTGCAAGAGATGCAACAAACGCTTCTTGAATGACTTTCAGTCCTCAGTGAAGTATCCGGAGATGATAACGTCCCAGTCTGTAAACGACGCCTTAACACTCACTGGGCGAACACGTCCTTGCTAGATATTTGAACTTATTTGGTTCAGTGCCTATGATGCAGAATGTAGACCGTACTCCTTTAGAAGTACTGCATTATCATTTCTACCAAGAAGAGGTAAACAGTGAACCTAGTATATGCTTTCCGAATATTTTATGAAGACGTGACACAAACAGTGAGCACAAGTTAACTACCAAAGAGTCTATTCCTATCCCAACTCTCTTAGTATTCCAGTATCTGAAAACTATATCTTTACATCTTTTAGGTCTCTTGTTCAGCTCTTTCTTATTGATTCTGCAAATGTCAATGGTTCTGGACCCATCGGCAATTATTCTTCAAATAATAATAATTTGCGGCTTACGTGTCCACCTCCATTTTTTTTCTAGATACCATCAAAAATGGCCATGCTGCTCGAGACACATTGAACAATAAATTCATCAATGCCAGGTCTGCTATAAACAGTATAGCCCAAATCTGAGTCAGAATCATGTACCATATATTATATAGATACATTGGCCGTGCAACGAGGCGCCTGGAAGTGAGAGTACTTGAACACGTACCGCGTTGGCAAGGCGTATGTGAAAAAGGTCGAATTCGAGCTCTATTCTTGTCAATTTCGTCAATACGAATCACCGAGTCGATGCCAAAGAAGACTTACAGGTTGTGTACCGGACACCATCAAGTTTCGCCAGAGGCCTACGCCAGCGGGTGGTAGCTGCAGTCGAGGCATCGGCTATACGACTAGCAAATCTAGTGCTACGTAGTCAGAAGACGTTGACACGAACGTTCTGTATTCCGTGGCCAACACCGACCCTAGATGATTGTCGCACGCAGCCCAAACCTCCTGAGGGCAGTGGTGTGTGTGACCAACTTACCTAGATTACAAACACCACTCACAGCCTCCGTCACCCTCACCCTCCCTCGTGCCCCAATAACCCTGAGGCACCGATCCCGCTCTGTGGGTGACGTGGGAACGATGAGTGTTACTAGGTCCTGAGTCACTAATAAGCCCAGTGATCATATTTTCAAGTCCTATGGTCTAGCGATGAGCAACCGAAAGCACGTGTTCGCTAAACTGACTCTTGCATTTTTACAGATGACTTTCATTTCTACCGTCAAGGCATAGTCGTGGGGGTGGTTGCCTTCCTTACCTGAGAGCTTCACTAAGGCACCCTCTTCATGATCTGAATGCCTCCTTGTTCATGGGAAACTTCTGTTTCTACTACTCTCTCGCAACGAAGTAAGATAATTCTAGACTCTATCAACATTCCTCCAAAGTATTCAGCCGGAAACGATGTACAACATTGTGAAGTCTTTAAATTAATTTCTAAATCTGCATTCAGTGGCAAAATAATGACTGGATAGTTTAACCTTCATGAAGAACATTGAATTATGACTATTCGCCCACATAGATTTTCATTTTTCCAAGATATTTTCATTTTTTTTATTGAATCACAATTTTTGCGCTCTCCAACAAAAGAGAATCACATTACTGATCTGACCTCTGCTCATGACATTTCTCCTCATTTCGTTGCTTTTTGATAGTAATCACGTATTAATTCATGGTTGCATACAGGTTGCCTTTTTAGAGAAGACCAGCACAGTCCGAACCTATATAAACTACGATTGCGTGGACAATAACTTAACAAGCAACTATATCATATCATTGCATTGGGGCAACTTCTTCTCCCGCAATAACGTAACAGTTCTTTGTGAAGTCATGTCTAATGTGCCTCGCAGATGTCTCAAGCCTAACTCTTCAGGCCCCCTTTCCCTCGCTTTCTTCCTAACAGACCAAAATATTGAGACGGCAGCTGCGTGACTTTTCCGTTAGTACTCTGTCCGTCGGTCTAACAGTTACAGAAATTTTCGTAATGACCTCGAGGATCTAGTACGCTTGTGGGAGTGGATTTGCGCATCGCAGCTGGAGTCTTCTTCATCTAGGTGTAGTTCATGTATGTTATTACCGACAGAGACAAGGCAGACCAGTCTCCCTTGTCTTTGTCGGTAATAACACACTGCCTATATTATGCGCCAATGTGCGGCTGCTGGTTGGGCTTGAGAGTGAACCCCTAAGGCACAACGGATCGAGTGAGTTACGTAAGTACGATTGGTGAGCGCCCCCTACCATTGTAGTTCATGTCTTTTGGTCCCGCCAACCTTCCTGGTCGCATATTTTTTTACAATAAGGCACTCTCAGAAGGCTCCACCATCAAATACCTAGGTTTGATTTACACAAATAAGCTTAATTAAGCAGCTAATGCTGATTTAATCTCTGCTACAGCCGCGCAAATATGCGGATCCATATAACATGTTTTTCTCCGTCCGAAAATGATGCAAGAATTTATGAAGAATGTTGTTCTTATGGTTCTCAGATATTGCTCTCCTTTTTCGGCAAGTGTTTGGAGAGTTTTTACTTAGAACTATCTTCTTCAGTTGGATCCGGTACCTCTTACACTGAGAAATGTCAGCCGACCGCATCTGGGTTCCTATTGCCTCGAGACTGGTTTTCATCGTGCTCTCACAGAATGTGCTCCATCAACGCTCTTGGCGAAACCTTCTGTATTCGCCATATACTAGTAGTCTGGTCGCATCTCCCTTGCCCCATCCTCGGATGGACTCGGATGATTGTAACCGTGCGCATCTGCGTTCCAATCGCCTCGAGACTGGTTTTCAATCTCGCCACTTATTTGCCTTATTCAAGGCCACATACAGGCCAGTCCTGACCGACCCGCCTACTTACCTCTTCATGAAATCCGTTCTACAATGTCATACACAGCTGACATTTATTTCGGATCTAACGATGTCCGATTATAATCCATTCTATACCGCCACATGCAGGCCAGTCTTGCCGGCATTTTTCTGTTTCTATTTTTTTCGAGGGTTTTTTTTCTCCTGTAAAATTAATCCAATCATTTCCAAATTTTCATGTGGAGTTTTTTTTTCACGCCTCGCTTAGCACTTTTCTTAACGGACTTCTAATTCAAAAACGACGTATTGCACTTTGTAAAGATTTTGCCTACCTCGTCTAAAATTCGCACATAAATTTATTTTTACTTGCTTTGATGGGAACCTGTTGGGTATGTAACAAAAATTATTACTATTATTATTATAAATTTTAATAATAATAATTTTAGTCAAGACTCGTGTGGGTGTTTCATAGCAAGTGAGAATAACATTTACATGAATTTTTGAACTTTGGACAGAAGTTATGCAGTAGTCGATTCATTGTTATTAAATATGAGTATGATTCGTAGAATGTTGAGCGAGCATTGACAAAAACTCCTAACTGATCAGAAGAAGAAGCGATCGCTGGAACAATGGCTTCATTCGCCTGACGTTTCGGATTCTCTCTTGAATCCATCATCATAGACAGTTGCAGAAAAGGGTGGCTAGTGTACAGGAAGTCGCAGTATTTATAGGATGCGGTCGCCATGCTACCGCATACCTACAGTAATTAACCGTGCTCCCTTCATGAAGGATTGTTGCCCGCTGGTGCGCTAACTGCTTGATGGCCGGCATGCAAGTTGTTAATTGCTGACATCTCATCACCCGTGTTGGATGCTGGCGTGATGATTGCTCGGCCATCTGGCTCACGTGCTTTCGCGCTCCTCGAGTGGTCAATTGCTTTGGCCAGTCTATGCCTCGGGACAGAATATGGAGTGGGGATGTCGTTGCACTTGTTGATAGACTGAGGTCCCGTGAACCATGACTCAAGCAACTCGCAGCTCACGCGATTATCCCCCCTCGCGAGAATTTCGGCCTCATCGAACTTGAATGTGTGGCCGGGTCTCATCGAATGGGCCGCGACCTGAGAGTTGGCGTCATTTCTCCGTACATCTGCCACGTGTTCGGCGATTCGCGGCCGGAGCAGTCTTCCAGTTTCTCCGACGTAGTTGCTTTGTCCGCAACTGCACCAGATCCGGTAAACGACTCCAGATGTTTCTTGCCGTGGCAGTGGGTCTTTTGGTCTCATCACTTGACGCCTCATGGTGGCCTCTGGTCTGTGCGCAACTCCAACCCCAAGTGGTGCAAGAAGGCGGCTAACGGCCTCGGAGACGTTCTTGATGTACGGGATCGCTCGCCAGAATTTGGGGTCGGTGCGATTTTGTCGCTCGTCTGGTTTGCGCAGGCACTGGTTGACGAAGTTGCGCGGGTAACCTTTTTCTCGGAAAACCGGTCGAAGATATTGGGATTCGGCAACCTTGTCTTCCGGTTCACTGCAGTGCGTCTCAACACGCCGAAATAGCGTTCTTACGCAACTGCGTTTGTGGCAGATTGGGTGGTTACTCCTAACATAAACAAAATGAGTATGAATGGATTAGCACTATAGGAGAAAAAACTGTTGCTCCTTAATATATAAAAAGGAGGCAGGACCAGTCTGTATGTGACAGAATATAACGGAAAGGGTCCCATCCTGAGGGGGGAAAGTGTGATACGGCAGGAGTGAACTGACCGTTTTGTTTTTGTTTTACTAAAGTGACGTTTTTCCGAAAGGGAGTAGTATGTGTTTTTCTTCTGTGCGCCTGTAGGACCTATCGACGGAGTCCACATGCCAGCCCCTGTAGCAGCCTCCAGCTCTACGCTCCCCATGCTTCAACCAGACAGTGAACGAGACTGTATTGTTAGAGAAACTCCTCTGGATCAACGTTAATCTACGAGTGTTCTTCCCCTCCCTCTGTTTTCCTATTTGTATGCGTTTATTGACGATCGTCGTTTTTACTCTCTCCGTCTCCACTCATTTAATATAATGTTTATATTATCGACTATCTTAGTTGTCCAGGTCATACCTGTTTATCTGAAATACTGTCTGCCGTGTGATGCTGAAATCAAGAACTAATAATGCAAGTCAGCCCGGACCACCCCTTGTTCTAAATGATTCTATCAGGACGAAGAATGTTAACCCAGGGCCGATCTCTCCGACAGGACAGTCAGACGGACGGCCCACTACAGTCAGTCTATTGCCAGCTGTAAAGAGGTGGTCGCACATTTCCTTCGTGTTTTTCAGGAGGCACTCCGTAATTGTCTGGACTAAGAGCTGGAAAAGATGAATATATATCAGGAGTAAGAAACATTCAATGGTAAGTCGCAATCAAAGCCGTCAAAATAATGTTGAATCATGTACCATATTGTTCTTGCGAATGTGACATTATACGAGTATCAGTATCAGTATCCGTATATTTCAGGGAAAGTAGGTGTGTACCTTTGAAATCCCTATTGGTTACATGCAGAGGATATATATGGAGGAAATGGAAAGGAAGTAACATGAAAGAAATGCGAGGGGAATAGCAAAAACTGTACAGATGAACACAGAATGTCATGCGTTAACAGAGTTTAGAGGCACATTAACTTGCTTTGTTGGTCAAAATACAGCGGACAGTTGAGGCACACTTAAGACACGGGAAAAGAAGAAAAATTGTTTAGTCTACAGGCATCGTGGTGAATGCGAACAGTGGTGTGCGACGTGGCCCAAGCTTAATAACTAACATATATATATATTACTTAGATGTTGGTAGTAGCATCGTTATGACACTAAATTGTCCGCGCTGGCTGTCAAGGTGGCCGTAGTCCGGCGTTATTGTGGTGCGCGCTACAGTGCTGATCTAGTCTCCATTTAAAAGTATCTACCGAGCCCGACATAACAACATCCTCAGGCAAGGCATTCCAAGATGCAACCACTCTGTTGGAGAAGAAGAACTTTCGGGTGTCTAGCCGGGCACCAGCCACACGCAGTTTGAGTGGATGGCCTCTCAGGTTAGTCGTAGTCGCCAACTCGAAGAAGTCTCCAAACGCAAGGCAGCAGCCCTGATTGCGCACGATGCGGAAAGTCTGTATCAGGTCCCCACGTAGCTGTCTATAACTCAAAGGAAAGATGTCAAGATTAGCTAATCGCGTTTCGTAGGGTAGTGACCACTGCCCAGATACAAGTTTCGTTGCTCGCCGTTGAACCTTTTCGAGTATGCCCAGGTCTTTAGCGGTCCAGGGTCGCCATGCTTGGATAGCAAACTCCAGATGCGGTCGCACAAAAGTTTGAAAGACCTTGGCGAAGCAGTCTTCATCAAAGGAGGAGAACGCCCGTTTGACAAGGTATAGCATGGACATCGCCGACTTGGCCACCTTTGAACATTGCAGCGAAGGCTTAAGCGAGGTTGTGATCCATACACCCAAGTCCTTCTGGGCGTCGACTTCTTGCAGTGGTTTGCCAGTCAGACGGTAGACCGGGTGGTTAGGCGAACTGGTTCTGCCGACACGTAGGAAAGTACACTTGTTTACGTTGAACGGTAGAAGCCAGTCTTTCGACCATTGCTCGAGGTGGTCCAGACTTGTCTGCAGTCGCGCCTCGTCAACTTCGCTTCGTATGGTACTCCAGATCTTTATGTCATCGGCAAACATTGCGACATCGCAATTCAGTTCGTTTGCGCAGTCATTGGCGTATACGAGGAACAGCGTAGGGCCAAGAACAGAGCCTTGGGGAACACCACTCTTAACGGCAACCTCGGCAGATTGTTGGTCACCGACGTGGACGGCTTGACAGCGGCCGATTAAAAAGCTCCGAATCCACATCAGAAGCTTACCCCGCACTCCTGCACGGCTAAGTTTGTATAGAAGGCGGTGGTGAGGTACACTATCGAAGGCCTTTTTAAAGTCGATATAGATGGCATGCACCATATCTCCTCTATCAACAGCCCTAGTCCAGTGTTCCAGACAGTAGAGCAGGTTTGTCACACAGGATCTGCCTTTTCGGAATCCATGCTGAGAATCGGAAAGCAAATGGTTTTGTTCAAGGAACTGCATTAGTTGTTGCTTTATTATCTTCTCCATAATCTTACAGCAAATGGAGGTGAGACTGACCGGTCTGTAATTGTTCGCAGAGACCCGACTTCCGCCGTTGTACAGCGGCGTAATCCATGCCGACTTCCAGTCGGGTGGCAGATATCCGGTCTCGAAGGATGTATGGAAAAGCATGGAGAGTGGCTTAGACAACTCACCGGTGAGTTCCTTCAAAATCTTCGCCGGAATCTCATCGAAACCTGGTGATTTGGATTCCTTTGGCCTCAGCAACTCCGTCAGAACCATACCCTCAGTGAACTGGACGGTCTCTATAATTGGGGTGTCTTCGAAGGATTGAAGAGCCGAAGGGTTGAATCCTGTTTCGCTACTAAAAACAGACCGAAAAATTCTGAAAGGTGATCAGCTTTCGTCCTGTCGTCAGTGAGATGTTCGCCTTCAGCAGTCCTTATCAGAGGTATTGGGTCCTTGTTCCGCGTGCACTGCCTAATGTAACCGTAGAATAATTTAGGGTTCTCCGCGGCACGGTTAAGCAGATCCCGTTCGAATTCCTTTTTGGTATTGAGGATAAGACCCTTGACTCGATTTCTTTGAATTTTGTACGCGCATATAGATGTGGGGCTCCTGTCAGAAAGCAATTTTTTCAACAGCCGTCGTTTTTTATTCACTTCATTCTTCAAGGCTTGCGTAAGCCATCGAGGTCTGTTAGTTAACCTCTTCCGTGAAAGCGGACAGTGGTTTACGATCAGCTCGTGCAGAATTTCTCGGAACCGTTGTCAGTCTTCGAGTATGCTCCCAACAAATATGGACTCCCACTCAATGCGTAAAATTTCAGCCCTCATTTTGTCGAAATCCCCGCGCCAAAGGTTTCTTCTAACTGTCCCGGGTTTCTTGGGCATGGAAAAAAGCGAGTAATCCCATAGAAGAACGACGTGGTCACTTTTACCTAAGGGGGTAGGCATGACACCTCATCAATGCTGTCCTGTGACTTCGTAAGTACAAGATCAAGGCAGTTGGCTTGTTGGCCTTCGCGTACTCTAGTTGGTAAGATGACGTGTTGAGTGAGAAATAGCTTCAATGCCATGTTCAGAAAACTCCTATCGAAGGTCTGCTCTGAGCTATTTGCATGGGTTGAGCTCCAGTCAATATGGGGCGCGTTAAAGCCGCCCATGATTAATATGACTTTATTATAGACTAGCATACAGCTACTATGTAGGGTTTTATCGAAAGGGATGTTATTATTAGCTCCTTAAGGGATATTTAATGTCAGGTTACATAGCTGAACGAAACGATAAAGGGAGGATAGAAAGAATCTCACTATCTGTTCTATGTTTATCAACGATGCTATCTTTCATAACTTTGATTGTTTTTAGTGCTATGTTCCGTTATTATACAAGCGGTTGGCATCATCAGAGCCCTTTCGGACCAAATTTTATATCAAAGAATTGAGGCTAAAAATGTCCTATCTTATTCAAAAATAAATGTGTACCGTTATTTGAAGGGAATTTATTAGTTTTTATTTTAAATTCGATTAGGGTTAGACTTTTCCGGATAGAACTTGGAGGAGCATTCCAGATAATGACATATCTTAAGGTGTGTAAATTCGACCGTTGGGACATTGTGAGTTTGGGGATCCTCATAATATCTTCGTTATTTAATCTTCGTTATTATAATCAGACTAATGTTGATGTGCCATCATCCGTCGGAAGCACCACAGTGGCGCTATATCATCCTAGCGCTTATGGGACAGTAATGAGATTTTCCATAAATCGTAGGCAAAATATTGTAACAAGGAGTGCCCCAAAGCCCACGTCCCGCATTCCGAAGGAACGGGTGATACACGAAAAAGACCTTCTTCATCAATGTAATGTGCCACTGCCGTCCTGAAGGATGGGTGAATCTTCACGGTAGAAAAGCTTTCCGACTAGACAAAGCAGATCCAGATCGTGACCTAAAAATATCCTTTAGACCACTTAAAGTTATTTAAGAAAACGAAGCCCGAGCAGCGCTTTCGGAGCCCGCGTAAGGAAGTGTTTTTTACAGCCAGATTTTGACCTGAGGAAAAGACTGCAAATGAGAGAACTGAGGTCGAAATTGAAGGAGAGAATTGGCAGAGAAGAACAAGGGGCGGAGATCAGAAATGGACAAATAGTCCAGATCAAGGATTCTTTCCTATGGTCAAAATCTGTCACAATGGAGGCGGAAACCCTTCAATGGTACAATCATCGAAGGTTATCTCCGCAAAGGCACAAAGCTTCTGCAACAAACTTGACAAACTAAGAGACTTGGTTGATGAAATTGAGCCAGAAATTATGGCTCTCACAGAAACGTGGCTTACTGAAGCTATCGCAGATTCAGAAATATCACTTAGAGGATATCAGTAATTTAGGCGAGACCGATTAAGCCGCGGAGGAGCAATCATTATAAATGTCATTTGCAAGCTGACTGCTATGGCTGATGAACATAGTCTAGTATGAGGTGTGGAAGTGTTAAGCGTTACCATACCTGCTAAGAATGTCCAATCACTGACGCTTTCGGTGGTGTATCGTTCACCTAACCATACTCCTGACCAAGATCGCATGCTCGTAACTGAAGTTACCAAAGTCAGTTGGAAGGAAGATGTTCTTATCGTTGGGTATGTTAACGCTCATGGCATTAATTGGCTAACACAGACTGCGCAAGGGCCGCAAGACAGCTTTAATCACAAATTACCACAATGGGCCACGGACAACCCCCTTTGCCAGAATGTTACCTATCGAACGCGGGCCAGTGAAGGACAGCAGTCGAATTGCCTTGATCTTATTTTTATCCGAGAGGAGGAAAACGAGTTAGACCTGCAGGACCAACCGCCATTAGGGTCAAGCGACCACATCACGTTCTACTTCGAGTATTCACTATTTTCCAAACCCGTTCAACCCGATAGGTGGGAGGGCAACATCTGGAAAGGGGACTATTCTCTTATGAGAAGGGAAGCGGCGGCTGTATCATGGGAGGCTGAACTGTATGTTCGAGCAATTGACAACTGGAATACTTTCAGTTCCTTACTGAAAGATATCTTTTATTCCAGTTGTCCTCCCAGAAGGAAGACAATCACAAAACGCCCAAAATGCATAAACTCGAAATAAAAGACTTCTTCCAGAGAATGGAATTGCCTGTTGAGGCGTTACAGACTAACTGGCTCCGAAGAACACTTACAGAATATAAGCGTCAACGAAACGTTTGTAAAAGTGAGGCCTCAAAGCTGCGAGGGAAGTTCGAACTGAACATACGGACAGACCCCAATGCAGGCACTTGTCTGCTGGAAAGCATTAAAGTCGGCCGGACATTGTTCTAGTGGGGGACTTTAGTGCAGTCCGCATTCATTGAAGCGATATGCATGCGAAGTTCTCCAAATACGCCTTCGATAACTGTTTCCTAAAACAACACTCGAAGCTCTTCTCACGCTGCATGTCTCATTTCCAGCTAGAGCGCGTGGAGGACAACAGCCTAATTTCTTTAATTTCGTCTTAAGCAAAGATCTTGACAGCATATATGAGGTGCACTGCCTGCCTACGCACGGTTTAAGTGATAACACAGTAGTCTTATGGGATTACGTACTGTATTCTGCGCCGTATGCAATCACTGACACTAGGACAAATATACGGCAAGGGAATTTTGCCAACGAGAGCTGAAGCATCACAAATAGACTGGAATGCCCTCATCTCCGGGAACGTCAATGGGGACTGGAATTTATTTAAGGGCAGGTTATTGCAGCTAATGGAGACACACTGTGCCTTATCAAAGCTTAGGAAATCCGACCGAACTCAGTAGCTAACACGAGATCTCAGAAATGAGACCAGCAAGAACGGAAGGCTGTGGAAGAATTTTCGCGAAGGCGATATTTATGCAGCGTTTACATAATATGAAGTCCAAAGAAACATAGTGAAGGGCTCGATTTTCAAGAGACAACGAGATTTAGAGTGTCATTTGCTCCACGGAGCCCTTAAAAGTCTAAGATTGCCTACAACTGTTTGCGAAAAAGCGCCCGTAACAGGAATCCCACTCCTGCCATGAGAAATGATGACGGTTTGGATATATCGAAAAGCACAAACAAAGCTTAGCATTTTTCTCAGTTCTTCCAATATGTTTTCACTAGGGAAGCAGTTTTCATTCTGCCTACTGCTGAGAGCATGGGAGATCTGATTATTGAAAATATTGTATTTTGACAAAAAGCGATTTTTGAAGAACTAAAAGGCTTGAAGGAATGTAAATCTCCCGCCTCGACTAGATCCACGCGAAACTACCCTCTGAACTTGACCGACCGTTGACCAAACCACTATCCCTTCTGTGCCTGGCATCGTTTGATGCCGGAATCATTCCCACAGAATGGAAATCGACCCAAATTACAGAGTTTTATAAAAGCGGTAGTCATGCTCATGTGACGAACTACATACACGTCCGTCTGACATCGATATGTTGCAAAGTCATGAAGATCACCAAAGGGATATGATGGCTTATGTGGAAACCCACAACGCACGGTTTTCTTACGGGAAGATCGTGTGTAGCGAACTTCCTACGCAATATGTAAAGCTGGACAGGAGCACTCGATGCAAAACACACTGTGCAAGTTTCAGTTCATTTGCTAAGGGTAATAGGCAGAGCCTTTGAAAACCCTATTGATTACATGTCAGCCCGTTAGAAATAACTGTAAAAATATTCGCCATTAAAACAGTGCTTGAGTCATTTGAGTAGCATTGGATCAGGGAAAATATTTGCGGCGTTGTGGGGTATTAGTTCAGATTCAGGCTGTCGAGGGAAAACAGGGGACACAAATAATCATCCAAGCGTTTCTTGAAGAGTTGCATGGACGTAGCTTCCACGACTGACTGAGGGAAATCGTTCCATTTCTCCACTACACTCTGCGTGAAAAATTCAGAACGAAGATTCAGCCTGGAAATTGTTATCCGTAACTTCATCGAGTAACCACGAAGATTGGGTGAAAGGTGTCACTGAAACAAGTCGTCAAATTTAAGCCCATGCTCAAGATCATGTAATATCTTGTAGACGAGGATAAGTTCACCTCTTTGTTGCCGGTAACATAGAGGGAATAAATTAAGGCAATTCAGTCTGTCTTTGTAGGATTGGCTTTTCGACCGTTTACCAGCTTTGTTGCACGCCGTTCTACCCGTTCGAGGCATGCTTGGTCCTTTACTAGCCATGGCCGCCATGCTTGTATGCCATATTCTAAGTGGGACCGAACAAAAGTGCCGTAAACTCTCCCAAAAATGTCTTGGTCAAAGTTTACGAAAGCTCTTTTGATTGCATGCAGCACTCCCATGGCGTTTTTTGCAGCCTTGTGACACTGCAGTGTTGGTTTCAAGTTGTTCTGTATCCAAACCCCGAGATCCTTCTGTGAAGATTCTGCAGGGAACCTTATATCTTTCAGGTGATTGGTCCTCAGGCTCTCATTTGAATGAGAGTCGGTTGTACGCAGATGAAGGACGGCACACTTCTCCACATTGAAATATAGAAGCCATTTCTTCGACCACGCTTGCAGTCGGTGCAGATTATCTTGAAGGGGTCTCTGATCATCGGGTACCTTAATGACTTTCCAGCGCTTAACGTCGTCGGAAAACATTATTTTGCCGCAGTCGAGTTCCTGAATGCTGTCATTAACAAAAAGAATGGAGAGCAATGGTCCAAGAACTGAGCTTTGAGGCACACCACTGGTCACATTTGTAGCAGCCGCTCCAGCCCTCTTTTCTCCGGCTCCGTTTTGTCGGTCGATGGCCGCGATAAGCACTGACAGGCCGCTGACGCACGACCACCCCCGCCGGCTAGAACTGGGACACCTCCGGTCCAGCTGCAGTGAACCCCGGCTGCACTCACAAACTAGTATCGCCTAACGCGCGTCGAACGCTTTGGCTTGATTCCCGCGAGGCCCTGTTAGTATGCGCCCTCCATTCGTCCCCTAATTTGTCCAATCACACGACCACCACGCAGACAGTCACCCCCTCATGCTGACTTAGACACTCACACTCGCGAAAACAACACACACCGTGTCTGACGCTCTCCGTGAACGGACGCTTTTCTTTGTTGGAAGCAATCGCCAACTTACGACAACCTGCCCTGTGTACAGAATAAACTAGTCCTCACAGCTCCCTGACTTCTGACAGTAGGCGAAACGAACTTATTGTGCGTGGTTTGAGTCGATCTCACATCCTTGACCGCCACACATTCACCCATTTTGACATATCATCTCCGATACATACACTTTGTTTCCGAGCAACCAGAAACGTCCTAATCCAGTTCAGAAGATCTCACCTGATGCCGATGGCGCTCAGTTTGTGAAGAAGGCGTTGGTGCGCAACAGTATCGAAGGCTTTGCGAAAATCGATGTATACGACATCGACCTCAAAACCCTCTTCTAGAGCGCCGGTCAAGATGTTCAGACAAGCTAGCAGATTTGAGAGGCAGGAACGTCCTCTACGGAAGCCATGTTGAAAATCCTGTAAGATGTCATATTCTTCACAAAATTGCTGTATAGCGCTCTTTACTAGAGCTTCCATCGTTTTGCAAGGGAGGTAAGTTATGCTAATAGGCCTAAAGCTGCTTGCTGTCATCCTGCTACCTCCCTTATGCAATGGAACGAGATTAGCTGACTCCCACTGTAATGGCAGCCTTCCTGTTCTCATTGACAGCTCAAGGTAAGTCTAAAGAGGCTTTGACAGTTCCGTTGATAGCTCATTAAGTATTAGTCCGGGAATTCCGTCGGGTCCAGGAGCCTTATCAGGTCAAGGTCAAGGTCGAGCCGCTGGTTTTAAATTTGAAGATAAGTGGAGGATATTATTTTAAGTGGTTTTTCTGTGAGATCTAACGATTTTAGTACCTGTTTTTTTTGGTTGAATTTCCTTAAATACAGGCCTCTTCTCTCAGAACTGCCCGCTGCCATCTCCTTTTGAGTTCTGCTAGTCTATGCCCGTTGTTCACTAATCGCACTCTGCAATTCTCATTTTGTGCATCCGATTTCTCTCTAACTGTTGTAATTTATTTTTGCATCGTTAGCCCCTAGCTGAAATTCAGTCAACTTGTCTGCCAGTAACTTTCTTAATCACAAATTGCCTCGAGACAAAATGAGACCAAAAGTCACTGGTCGACGTAAGCTCGCGGCCTCTGTAAGTAAGCATGGCCTAACTAAACGTAAGTCAGAAGCTTTACCTAAATCTAAGTCAGATGATATTACTAGTCAGTCGTCACCCGTTGTAATTGGTCGGCAACTTAATCTGTCTGCACTTGACCACTGCAATGACTTTATGCTAAAGTTTGGCTCTTTGCTGACAATTCTGGGAAATTTATTCGACGGGAACATCTCCGATATTCCCTCTGAAGAATGTAGGCGTCTCGACTCACTTGTTCACCTGATCGCCAGTGAAATTAGTGATAGACAGAAGCGTTCTTACAACTTCCTGCTAAAAAATGTTCCTCGATCTTCTCAGTCAATTGATGTTGTGACCAATTTCCTGTATTCATGTGGTTTCAACCACAAAATAGCCGATGCCAAACGCTTGTCTTCCCGTAGCAAAAACCCACCCATCTTAGTCAAATTGTTTTCATCAATCGAAGTTGACACAATCTTTATCCATCGAGAGCGTGTCATTGCGTACCTAGAAAAGGCAAAATGTTTCCTTTGTCATGATCTTACTCCTATGGAGCGTAGAATCCGGTCTCTATTCTCACGTAAACCCACTGCTTCTCAGTCTAATGCTCCCCAACTCGGTCATAATACAAGTGGCCATAAGGATTCATCTTCTCCTACTCCTGCGACATCTGACTCCCTCTTTCCTCTTTCTCCTACGTCTCCATCTCACTCAAGCCACTTGACGCATTTGCCTGCCCCTAAACTTGCGGCGGCAGCAGCAGCCCCATTTGTCGTTTCGTATCCTCCGGATAGTCCCGCTGAGACACATGGAAATCAGTCTACATCAGCTAGACCGATAACTTCTGTTGTCCAACTGGGTGCTGTAAGGTCTACAGTTAAATCACCAGTGGCTTGGCGTCAGAACGGTGAGACTAGAAAATTGTATCAGACTCCGACCAAAAAGATAGGTTGTACAGTTCCATTTAGGGGTACGATGCCTTCTCTGAGATCTAACAATTCTGTTCAGCCCAGCACGTCTACAAACCCCGCAGCTCCAATTATATCCCCGAATAATTCTCTGTCCTGCGTACCGGTTACTTATCAAAACCCTACTATATATCCAGCAAATAATTCATACATGAATTGCCCTAAATCATTTATGCCCAAACCCAGTTCAGGCTTCCCACCACTTAAGGCCAATTGCTCTCAGGTACGTCAACCTATCTCCTTTGACTTCCAACCTAGACCTGGTTTCCCACCCTTTCATTCTTACAGCGGCCTACCCTCACCCACTAGCCCCTACTTTCCTTCTAGCCTCCCTCCTCCTCCTCCTCCCCTTCCTCCATTATTTAACTACCAACAAGTCTATCCATGTTCTAACTCCCCTAGCATTCCAATGTTTGAAAACTATATCCCCACCTCCTTTAGGTCTCATAATCAGCCTTCTCTTGCTGACTCCCCGTACGTCAATAACTCTAAATTAACTGGTACTTATTCTCCAAGTGTCATTAATTCGCAGCTTACATATCCGCCTCCAAAATTTTTTAAATACCGTCGAAAATAGCATTGCCGTTCGAAACACATTAGATATTATATTATTGAATGCCAGGTCTGTTATAAACAAGATGGCCCAAATCAGAGCCATTGCTCTGGAAATGACGCCTGATATTATATGTGTAACAGAATCTTGGACACATTCTCTAATTCCTGACTCTGCCCTTCTCATAGATGACTTCGATTTTTACCGC